GCCTTTGAAAATTTCAAACGCTTTCTTCATTTATTCCTTTGGTAGAAAATTACGTCTAGTCCATATCGCGTATCTAAAATTGAATCGTCCATTTTTTAAAAACATGTTTTACTTATTATTTATAAGACCATGAGGTAGACAAGGCATGATCACTGGAACGGTAGATTTATGGGGCTTAGCTTTCGAACTCGAACTGGAGTTCAGCATCAGACTGCTGGAGTGCAGCAACGTGCGAACATTTATATTGTTGTGCCGTGAGGGGGGGGACTACGTCCGTGGCTAGGTTTGGTTTGTGCTGCCTGGCCCACAATGGTCCCCCGGCGTGGTGACGCCGTTTGTAATTCGCGGCAATGTGAGCTGCGCCACCTGGCTGCGTGGGCGGAGTGCGTGATAACACGCAGGCAAATCAATGTGTCCATTGGTAGAGTTGAGGTCCGACATCCACGCCTCCAACAGTTCTCGCCTCGTCTTGTTGCGGGCTCGCGCCAATATCCGCGTGTTGGCGAAGTCGTACTCATGGCCTTCCTCTAGCGTGTGAGTGACGACTTCAGCTAGTGGTTTGCCTCTCCGAACGGCCCGTTTCTGCTCAAGTATTCGTGAGCTGAGACGTCGTCCTGTTTGGCCTGTGTATTGGCAAGGACAGTTCTGGCACGGGATTTTTTAGACTACCAATGATCGTGTCTTTGTCTTCTTCTAAACAAGAACCTGGGATGCGCATATTCTCTTCCATTCGTGGGACCATGAGGTGTTCAATCTTATGGCATCATATCAACACGTTTATTAATGCTACTTTTTAAATGGACAGCGTGGTTCACATTCGTTGCAAAGTTCTATGGGTCTTGTATAATATTTTCTCAGTACCATATAGAAATATATAATTTTCTTCACAAGAAAACTACATAACAAGTGGTTTGGAAATCTTAAGTTCAAGTTTAAAAGTAGACGGAGTTGCAAATTATCCGGAAGTAAAAGGGTTTTGAAACGGAATTATACTTTTCCTTCAAGTATAAAACTAAAGGATGCCTTCTACAAAGTATAGTTGAAGTTAAAAGAACGTCGAAACTTTAAAATGACCAATCATACCACCTAAGTAGTCATTTTTATGTGTAGTTTTTTACGCGCGGTCGGAAAGAGGCTAATTCAGCAGCAGGCATCCTGACGTGACTGAAATACCATGGGATTATGCTACGAAATAAGTATTATCCTAACTAGAAATTTAATTCTGGAGAGTCGATCAGTATTAGGTGATCCACAGTGGTCTGTAAGTTATCACGCGTTTGACATGTAACTTACGGAAAGAAGACAGCGATTCTAACACTCATAGCGGAATAAGTATCGATCGTTTGTCAGTTTTGGAAAGTCACACATATATATATATGCGACTAAAGGAAATGGATTCTTTCCGCTCTTTCTGCTAGAAATAATTTGCATTTCAGGAAGATCAAAAATAGATTGAGAAAAGCAGTAACGAAAATGTGGTTTTCAGGTGGCATGACAAAAGGAGAAGTGAGAGAAAAGTGGGAAAAGGTGGCCTTCGCTGGAAGTGGTTTATTTGAGGTGGTGCACTCCGAGTAGTGGTTTCGCCGTAGTCAGAGACCGGAGATTCATGCGTATAGCTTTTATTATACACGTCGTTAATGCCGGCGAAGAAGAGACAGTAAAACACTTGGGACCATCAGTTATCTCCCCGGTCACCGAGGGTAAGTGCGACAGGGGTTACGGTAAAAGGGGTTCCAATGCAGCCCTACATAACGCATTGGGGGTGCGCAAGACTCAATAATATCTGAGGTTGAGTAAGTGAAATCACTGCCACATACGTCGGACATCAAATAAATCTCTCTCTTGGTGGACATCTCTTCTCCTGAACTTCGGAGCAATATACTACTTAGATATTTGTTTTTTAGTGCGAGATCAAGGCCTGAAGGTGGGAGAACTTGCAATTGAAAGCCAGTCTTCTACTGTGCCGTGTTAGACAGCGGTTTCTAATATTAATGTTATTCTAATGCAAGCCGGTTTGTTCGAAATCGTATTTTGGTATTTTGAATAGTGTTCAACGTATTTTCAGCAGGACCAAAACAGGTAAAAAAACTGTATTTTGGTGTAAAATACGTCTATGTGTCTCGTCCGTTCACATCGTTATAGCAGCATACTTAAATAGGACGACGCTCAGATGAAGCAGTCGTGAAGGACGGTAATGGTGCCTCGTATTCAGTCATTTGACTTCGAGAAACTGCTGTGTAGGCAAAGAAGCGCGACTGACGTTAGCGAAACCGCATTCAGACATTCAAGTCTTTTGTCCTCTGCTGAACACAGAGAAGCCAGGGAAGGCTGTTCGCGTATATGTGGCGGTGAATCCATGCAACCTGCCTTCCGTATATTTATAACAACGCCATTTTTACGAGTTATTCATACCAGACCCACGAGGCTCACTATGGCGTCCTTTCCCCACGCATCGTGTCCTGATAATTGCCATGAAGCCTTTACAACTTTTAACGACCTAGGAACAAATAACCACCATCGTATACAGCGTTTCTACAAAATTTATAAGTGAATGAATGTCTGCCGTTCTTTTTAAAGTAGCAAACTCAAATCGAAAAAATGTGGAATACATTGTAACCGCGTTTGCAAGTTTTAATTCCGTGGTAGTATTACTCTGTCTTAGAGCGCGCTCTAAAACCGGTTTTCTAGTGCTTATTGTCGACATTTTTGAAGTCTCCCGAACCGAGAGGAAGGGCTTTGGATGGCGTAGTCATAACCGCCTGACTAGACTTCTAAATTTCACCCAAGCGGCGAAAAGTTTCCTTGGAATAATTTCCATGGACATTTTAAAAGTCCGCTTTCGACTTTGGTGTCTGATATATGTGTACGTTTTAATTAGTAACTGAAAATTAACTTTTTCTCCTTGCAGGCGCCTTCCTAATTCCCTACCTGATAATGTATATCTTTGGTGGATTACCGTTATTTTACCTCGAACTTGCACTGGGTCAGTTTCAAAGAAGTGGATGCATCACGGTTTGGAGCCGCATCTGTCCGCTATTTTCTGGTAAGCCCTTATCTCGAATACGCCTTCTGGGATAATTCAAAGTAAGGGATCGGTCACGCTGTCCTGATCTCGAGTGTAAGCGCCATAAGGGCACTGAAAATAGAGTGGGCCGAAAGAAGATGCGGATATCGTTGGTGGGAAAGTAGCTAACGATATAGCGGAAAATGGTAACCAGATGTTTCGGTTCGTTTTAGGGTGTGGGTTAATGTCAGGTTGAGAAATGAGTTTAGGGTTAGGGTTTGTGTTAAGTTTAAGGGTTCCGGTCAGAGTTAGATTTTGGATTGAGGTTTGGGTTTACGTTTAATGTTAAGATTATGGTTAGGTTTGAGGTCAGAGTTAGGATTTGGGTCAGGGTTGAGGTTGAGCTTTGGGTTGGGGCTAGAGATTGTGGCAGGTTTAGGGTTTTCATAAGGCTTATGATTACGTTAGGGATTAGGCTTGCTTTTGAGGTTACTGTTAGATTTACCGATAGGTCTGGGTTATTGCTTTACCGTGTGTCTTGCCAATCATGTCCTTTGCGGGGATGTAAGACTTCCTTTAATCTCGCGGTGAATTTGTCATACATCAGGTCGATCTTTTCTGTTTTAACTTTGGCTGCCTCCCCACTAACGATTTCATCATCCCCTTCGGCTAACTTTCCTTTTAATGCTCACATTGCGCTTACACTTGGGACCAGGACAACGTAATCAGCCCTGGTATATTTTAACTTATTAAATACCGATAATTTCTCTATTGGTCATTGCACACATCAACATCATGACTTGGCTAGGACGACTGGATTCGGCTTAAGTGCACAACGGCTAGCCGGGCATTTACTCCACTATACATTTGCCCCACGACGGTTCTCTACAAGCGACGGGGGTGCAGTGGTAACTTGCGAAGTAAGGTGTCTATTGTGAGGGGAACGTTCGCAGCACCTAACTCACTCTCTGGCTGTCTTCTAGCGCCCGCCTACCTCCCAGGACAGGATAAGGTCATGCGCAGTATAGATGGGCGTCGGCGCAGTAAGTGATGTGGTAAAATCACGCCCACGTGGGCCACACACACACACGCGTTTTGCTTTCAACACACTTACATGCCAATCAGATTTCCAATTAGGTCACAGGCAACTCAGTGAGCATGGCTTCCGCAAAGGTCCATTAAGCGGAAACCATCGCAGTTTGACCCTCAGGATGGGGATGATCATTGGACAACTCTTCGGACCCCAGTATTAGCTCATTTTGTTAGGGTTCTGCTCGTAGGTTTATGATAACGACAATTTAAGCCCTGGGTCCGCATCGCGTTGGCACATACTGCCCTATACCATCCGTCATTTATCAGAGGCAAGTGTTGGCTAAGTCGGCTGGAAATGATTTCGGGCAAAGTACCTAGCATGACAAAAGTTCTCATTGTTTTCACTTTAAGAGAATGTAAAGGGTAAGGGTTGAGCATAACCACCCCAAGTTGTACGTTACGCTGCCATCGTTGCTACTTACTTTCACCGAGTAGTGAAGATTGATATGCCAGAAGTTTTATGCAATCGCCATCGAGGTGAATGCAAAATTTGCTTCTCAGTGGATTTTTCGTTGAGCCATCACCTGCAAGGTCATGAACTTATATTTTCCTTTTTACTCGCCTTCACTTAGACGGTTGCCTTTTTGATGAATGTTGGGAGTTCACATCGCACAATTACGTGCATTATGAACTCTAGGTCGTAATTTAGAAAACTTTCCCCTTTTGACCTATCGAAAAAACATATGAGGACTATGTCGGATGACGTTTTGAGACCCTACGTCGATTCAGTTACCCCCTCCTTTGGACGCACTGGGTGCATTGTCTGTGGTAGCAAATATAATTGAATTAAAATTTTTTATCGATTTTGTGGCAGAAATTTCTTGTCGCCAAAGGTGTTTTGGTTATTCGCATGTCCTATGCATATTCTCCCATGTGGTTTCTATATTAGAAGGTTTCTAGTTTACTTAAACATGAATCTTTAAGAGTTTATGCATTTTTATTAGGACCAGTGAATGGAGACCCCACCCAGCATGACGGGTGGCCTTACACCGAATCCCAGGGCGGTACATATTCCCATGTGCTGACCCTAAATCTAGCACCAATCAAAAGTCTAACCTGCCTTGAAATTTAGCGCTAGTTGACCTGTCATACGTAATTTATCCATTCCTAGCAAGTTTTGATATAATGTGATTCAGGGAAGTATTTGGCGATTTTAATTCACCACAGCCAACAAACTACGTTGATGGGCTAATTCAGGAAATGTCAACAGAAATTCCGAAATGCGTTTTCATTTCGAAATGATTAAATAAGTAGGGTTGTAAACCAAGTCAACGTGCAGCATAATTCTATAATAATTCAGTTATCCCGGGACGCCGGCTTTTGAACAAACTTCTATCTGGCTGCGTCCAAAAACTATGCTCCGTATAAAATGACTACATAATTAATATGCATTTTTCTCATTGATTTTCGATGCCCTTAAAGATTTAATTATATTTCATAGAAACATGCATATAAATATTCATTTTTTGCCCATTTGGTAGAAAAGTACGTCATTTTTCAATTTTACACTCGAAAGAAGGTATTATTCGGCTGTAAAATAGTTGTTAATTGTAAGATTTTTTAATATCGTGAAATGGCCGTTCATAAGTCGTCATGCCTCTGCATTTACTAATGTGGCTTGTAAAGTTAACAATATGGATCAAGTCCACTGCTAAATGTTATGAACCCCATATCGTCTCCTCTTAATACCGTAGAGAAAAGTGTGGTTCTCCGTACGCAGAAAATATATGGCTTGTAGTTTAGAAACCCTAAATGCAAGTGTAACGGCAGCTCGGGTTCAAACTTACTCGGGAATTGGAAAGGTTTTATAAATCCAAATTATCCCCTTCCATCAAACGCAAAATTGAAAGAATATTTCATTGTCTACTGGAAGAGCAAATGAATAAATATTTTTATGCATGGTTTCTATACATTATAATTGAATCTTTAGGGGCATCGGAAATCAATGAGAAAAATGCATGCTGCTTAAGTAGTCATTTTTTACGGAGAATAGCTTTTGGGTGCAGCCAGAAAGAAGTTTGTTCGAAAGTCGGCGTGCTGAGGTAACTGAAATATAGAATTGTGTTGCAGGCTGAGTAGTTTTACAACCCTACTTAAGTAGTCTTTTCGAAACGGAAACGCATTTCGAATTTCCGTTGATATTTCTTGAGTTTGCCCACTTACTGTACTATTTCCACCGATCTCGAACGACTGGTGATCGTGGCTTTGGCTTTATGGATGATTACACTAAGTCATAAACTCTTTTGGCACCGTTTGTATTTGATGTGGTGGAGCCACCGGTCTGCGTGGTTGCCTCCTGGTCTGATGTCACGCTGAAGGACTGTGGCAGTCAGATCGGCGGTCCAATTGTCGAGCGCAGTAAACTCAGACCAGAGTCAATTAGACTGGATCCGGCAGACTCTACTTTGGCTATGACTGGGTGGATACGGCTCCACTGTGAGCCCATATTCCCTTTGTAATCGTTTGAAAGAAGACAGTGGTAGAAGCGTTGAGGACTATAGCGTTGAATCTCCCCTTTCCCTCGCAATGCTCTAGGTTAGTAATGTAATCCCTATTGAGTGCTTTTCCCGACTGACCTTCTTCCTACTGTTAATTCTTAAGACTTGATAACAGATTGGATGGTCAGTTGTTTTGAGCTGATGTGGGTTTTGGTAGAGCATAAACTAGTAAAACGGTTGATCTTATGGTGCCGCATCTAAAGCAACAGAAGCTTAAGGAACCAGTGCTTGTGCGTGGCACGCGTAGGGCTGGACAATGACTGGGTTCAAAGTCCCATTCAGCAACAGTTGTGTAATATAAGCAGCTTTAACTGTCTATGCAATTATTGAGCAAATGTCTAGCGACTCACCAGGAGAAGATAGTGTTTAACCCCAGCCTGTTTGTAAACGCAAACTCAAAATTCATTATAAAACACAAAAAGGGAAAACGTTCCCTGAAGTTCCGTTTGTCATAGGTAAGTCAGATGAACGGGGAGTTGAACATGTCTGCCGACATTGATTTAAAGCAGCTGTCAATGGTGTTAGGTGATGAGCGCATCAACATGTCGTGATGGTAGGGCATGGGAGGAGGCGGATGAGGAGGAGGAGGAGGAACGCCCCGTTAAAAAATGGCATTGCGTTAAGTTCCAGGATGTTTACTTATTCCGAGTTCTAACCTTATGACTAACTCTGACCATAATCCAACACTAACCTTGACTCTAACTCATGTCTTTCTAGGATTTTGCGCAAGGCTGCCTGTAGTACTGAGAATCTAAAACCAATTTCAGTTGTAATTCTGGCAGTAGTTTCGGCAGGCATGCGGAAAAACGTGTCGCGACCTTCAGTCAACAGCTGCTCGGAACTATTCACAAATATATAAGTACACAGGGGAAGAAACACGCTAATTCAGGTTTCCATGCTTTCCATGCATTTACAGGTATAGGTTTTGGGATCTGTATCATCGCCAGTTACACGGCCTGGTACTATAACACCATTATCTCCTGGGCCCTCTTCTACATGTTCGACTCGATGCGATCGCGGTTACCTTGGGACAGCTGCGACAACTGGTGGAACACCGAACACTGCATCACCGTCTACCAACAGCTGGTGGATGACTTGAACGACACGGCTGACATTTTTCTGCAAAACAGGACCTTCGAGCCCAATATGACCTACTTCTCGTCAACAGAAGAATACTTTTAGTAAGATGGTCGCTATTTTTAAGTACGTGCGAAATGCTGTGGCCAATCCATCAGACTGGGTTGGCAGCCTACCATCCGGGCACTTGACCCTAAAAAGTTAATACCCATAACAATGCAGCCATAATATGGTAAAGTTTAAAAGATTATATGTAAGATACATGTGATGCGTGAATTAGACTGCTTAATATTAGGTCCATTATATTGGAAATTGTGTCTCTTATAGGTTTCGAACTTGTTTGGAGGGAGGATCCATTTTTAATGATCACAAACACCTGCACTTAGTGTTTTCAGTCTGCGTGACAGATAGTCTTCCGGAGGGATTTTATTACTACCTACGCGTATGTATTAAGGAAACTCCTTTTTCAATGTGTACATATATTACAAGGAAGGCTTGCTAAGGTACTGACAGACGCAGACAACCGTTTCACGGTCGTTGTCGATCGTCAGCACGGCACTGCCCGTCATGTAACTTATACAGTGAGGCATATTAACTTGTCCAGTGGGCGCGTGGCCCTTTCTTAGTGTGGTAAGAATCTCGTTTGATCAGAGCCAAAGACTAGAGCTAGGGTCGAGGTTAGGGCTGAGATGGGGATTTGGGTTAAGTTTGGCTGCCGCATTCCGTCTTACATAATTCGGTTTTTTCAGTCAATAACCCTAAATAACCTGTTTTCTGCCTTTTTATGCACTCTTGTTTGCATCTCTCAAACCTTGTGGAATGTTTAGACACCGCGCTGGATTAGTAAAACAAACAAACGGCAGGAATGCGAATTTTCTCATTGTTCTTCACAGATTTCGTAAAATACTGTGTCCAGCACAAGAAGGCACGATCACTGGGACGGTATATTCATTGGCCTTAGCTTTCAAACTCGAAATGGAGTTCATCATCAGAGACTGCTAAAGTGCAGCAACGTGTGAACATTTATATCGTTGTGCCGTGTATTGGGGGGGGGGGGGGGTACCACGTCCGTGGCTAGGTCCGGTTTGTGCCACCGGGTCCACGATGGTCCCCCGGCGTGGTGAAGTCGATTGTACTTCGCGGCGATGTGAGCTGCGCCACCTGGCTGCGTGGGCGGAGTGCGTGATAACACGCGGGCAAATCAATGTGTCTGTTGATAGGGTTGGTGTCCGACACCCGCGCCTCCAACAGTTCTCTCCCCGCCTTGTTGCCAGCTCGCGCCAATATTCACGTGTTGGAAAAGTCGAACTCATGGCCTTCCTCCAGCGTGTGAGTGGAGACATGAGATAGTGGGTCGCCTCTTCGAACGGCCCGTTTGTGCTCAAGTATTCGTGAGCTGAGACGTCGTCCTGTTTGTCCTGTTTAGTGGCAAGGACAGTTATGGCAGGGGATTTGATAGACTACGTCCGACTGCTCACCTGCGTCCGGCCGATCCTTCATTTTCATGATCCTGCTACGCGTGGTAGCCGCATACCTTTTACACCCTTCCTTCGGGCTCGCTACAGTTCGTTTTTACCCGGTCGAAAAGCGCCCTCACACAGCCGCGTTTGCGCAGCAATGGGTAGTTGACACCACCCAGTTCGAGTTCGAAGGCCAATAAATCCACCGGTCCAGTGATCGTGCCTTCGTCTTCTTCTAAACATGAACCTGGAATGCACATATTCTCTTCCATTCGTGAGTACTGTGTCCATCTGTCCTATTGATAAAACTAGTATTTACATCCATTTAAAAATTAAAAAAGTTCCTTGCGTTTTATTGCCTCTGTGGTGCTACATGTCCAATTGTCGCCATATTCTCGGCGATGAATTGCCATCTCTTATGCAGGTTTGTAATCCTCTCTTCGCAATTGTTTTTTCTTGTCCCAAAGTAATCGCGTGCTTCAAATTCAGTACTCTGATGGTTTCAACAAAATGGGCACCGTCCGGTGGGAGGTGGCGCTCTGTCTGGCAGCAGTCTTCACCATTGTCTATTTTGCACTCTGGAAGGGTGTCAAAAGTAGCGGAAAGGTATGTCGGCTTTATTTTTGATAACGTAAGCAAAGAAAAATACCTACAGGACCCAGAAAGCATTTGCGAAGCATGAGCCTGATTGGCTGGCTGCCGTGGAGATAAAATTATCGACTCATTGACTCAGCCACCGTTTTATCAGTTTGCTAAGAGTAGCAAATGTTGTGGCGTAGTGATCAGGGATGTGTCTTGACCCAAATTAATACATATTTAAGGAGTGTAATTACTAAGTTAGTTAGGTAATTCGCATAGAAGGGCGTCGGCTCCTTTCTTGGGTGAAAGATAATCATCCTGATCTTGTAGCATCTTCTGAAGTGTAAAGAATGAATGTTTTATGAATTTTTTTTCATTAATTATAATTGGACTTTTAGGGTCATCGAAAATCAATAAGAAAAATTCATGCTTATTAAGTAGTCATCATTTACAGAGCGTAGTTTTTGCATGCAGCTGGAATCATTCTTTACACACGCGAATGAAATGTCAATATTATGAGTGAAGGATGAAAAGGAATGGAGTAAGCTGTTTCGTTGCATACACAATAACGATGCATTCGACTTTGTCGGCGAGTTAGGGCCGCACAACCATTATTTATTAAAGTAGGTTTGCTATCTCATTAAATATTAACTGAAATTCTGAAATGCGTTTTTGGTCCAAAATACTACTTAAGAAGGGTTGTAAAGCTAATTATCATACAGTATTATTCTATAATAATTCAGTTACCTCGGGATGCCGGTTCTTGAAAGAACTTTTATCCGGCCACCTCCAAAAATTACACACTGTAAAAACTGACTACTTTAGTAGTACGAAGTGTCCTCACAGAGTTTCCATCCCTTTAAAAATTCGACGTTATTTCATTGGAAATATGCACCAACAAATTCGTACTTTTATTTATCGGGTAAAAATAACGTCTTTTTTAACATTATACGTGGAGGAAGTGTACGGTTCGGTATTAAAAACCTTCCAAATTTCCGAATAATTTTGAACACGGCCTACCTTTGAACTTGCATTTAGGGTCTAAAAACTACAAGTTATATAGTTTCTGTGTACAGAAAACGATACACTTCTCTACGGTTTTAAGAGGAATCTTTATGGGGTTCATAAAATCCAGCAGAGAATTTGAGCCATATTGCAAACTTTGCACGACATATTGGTAAATGCAGAGCAACAACGTTTAAAAAGCTCACAATTCGACGTTTTAAAACCGAAGCATATCTTCCCTTCGAATATAGATTTGGAAGAAGAGGTAATTTTCTATCAACTGAATAAAATGATAAATATTTTTATTCCTGTTTTCCATGAAATATAATTGAACTTTTAAGGGCATCGAAAATTAATGAGAAGAATTCATGATGCCTAGGTAGTAATTGACAGAATGGTATTACCAACAAAGACAAATGTCGGTAATACCATTCTGCCTATATATCATGCGCCGCTGTGCGGCTGCTAGTTGGGCTCGAGAGAGAGCCCTTAAGGCATAACGGAACGAGTGAGTTCCGTATGAACGATCGGTGAGCGCCCCCTACCATAGGTAGTAATTCTTTACAGAGTGCGGGTTTTGCATGCGGCCGGAAAGAAGTTCGCTCGAATATCGGAATCTCGAGGTAACTTAATCATTATTAAATTATGCTGCTTGATTATTAACTTTACAACCCTTCTAAAGCTATCTCTCTGGAATGAAAACTCATTGTAAAATTTCGGTTTATTTCACAAGAGTTAGCACACCTACTGTACATAACTGAACTTTAGAGCTCGGAATGTCTTTACTGTTGGGTTATGACTAACGTAATAAAATATCGCCCACCCTTGTTAAGCCCTCAGTTCCACCTCTCACAGTCCATCGTCTTAGTTTTTAAGGCCATTTGACGCAGAGGCTGCAGCAGATAACACTGAATTTGTCAACTACATACGCTCTTTGGCTACGTACTCTAACTACGAGTCGATTTTGCACACCGGTTCCGGCCACACACTAGGTTTCGTCGTCACTGCCAACTGCTGTTTGTCTCCGCCAAGGTCTCAGACATCGGATTGGAGATTCAAGCATCTAACGGCATTTGCTTCTGACTTCTATCAGACTGCGGTTTGTCGGCATTATCTTCTGAATGGCCTCTGCCCAGCCAATGTTCACCGTGCATCTAGGGGGATGTGATGTGCATGTAGTTTTTGCAGAGGCTAACTTTGAACTCACCACTTTCCAACGACTGCATCCAGCAACAAAACTTCTGGTTAGTCTGAAACCATTAAACAGGTAAATGGACTAATGGGCGCGGTTTACTATGAGTAGTGTATGACAATGTTAACATACGAGCACCAGTGGATGGACACACTTATTTGATCTTCTACTCCTGTACTCCGATTTCCTTATGCTCGTTTTTACCGTGTTGTTCATACTACTCGATCCGCGAGTTTTGAAAACGAGTGTTTTTCTTTTTTCTACTTTGTAGGCTGTTTGGGTGACGGCTACTCTGCCCTATGTGATTCTGACCATTCTATTGGTGCGTGGCCTCATGTTGAAGGGATCGCTTGCTGGCATACAGTACTACCTGACTCCCAACTTTGAACAGCTGCTTAACATAAAGGTATTGCTATTTCAACTGTGGAGTCACGTATGTCTAATCGTTTTTGCTCATAGATGTAAACTGAATGTTCTTGCTGAAAAGTATTTTTAGTTTTCTGTTTGCCATTCACAAGCACCGGATTGTGCTCAAAAACTCTGGAAGCATTAGCCGGTGTATGAAAAATCACTCAAATGCTGTTGTGAAAGTGATAAGTGCTGAGCTGGTCTCAAGTGATCTGATGATCACTGACACACTGGCCTTCGACGAATAGTCCTTCCAGCTACATCGAGTGAAGTGACCCACGAAAATATTTCCATCTTCGTTTATAAAAAACCACAGACGGATCTCAACCTCCTAACTCCGGTTAGCCACACATTACAGCACTAAATGACTCATGCGATCAATAATTTTGGACAAATGCTGTATTAGTACGGACAGCCAACCACAGACGCCAACGTATCGATTTTTCTATTCTCCTCCTCTGATTGGATATGTACTCTAATGAGTCCATCCTTGGCGTTCGACTCTGGTTGGCGCACGCCGTTTGTTGGGACAAACGCGTCTATTTTACCTAAACAGGAGTGGGATCGGGGACTACGACATCGGATTAACCGCCGTGCCCTCACAGCGGACTGCGCTGTACTAAAACGGAGCCAGGCGTCTATCAGATGGTGATAAGTCCTCACAAGTTCATAACTGCTGCCATGCATGCGTGTGTGCCAGGTCATAGACGCAGACATTAGCCCCACGTCAGCTACTGACTAATTCCATCGCCCAATGACTGGCAGACTTGAACAATAGACCGGTGCGTGTTAGTGGGAAGGGAAAATGAAGCCGACACTGGGGATCCTCCGCGCCCCAACGGCAAAAAATGTCCTCCTCGTCATAACAAATCTGGTGCTCCTGAACCTATCAGTCAGTCAGTCAGACAGTGTATTTGGGGGGAAATAGGCTTTCTCCTTTGAACTCCCTATTTGTACATAAAAAATCGGGAAAATAAGCAAAGATGTGAAGAAATTACAGCATTAAGTGAATGCAGACATTGGTTCACATAGGTCACTGGTCTCATGATTAAAAAGCCACATAGTCCGCTTGTTGTTGCAGCATATGTTTGTCAAGCCGACTTTTAAATGTCTCCACAGATTGAGACATGACAGTCGTCTCGAGTAGGTTATTCCACGGTTCCACGACACGGCTGGAGAAGAAATATTTTCTCACATTAAATCTACCCTGGGGCACATGTAGCTTGAAGGGATGTCCCCGGAGGTTAGTTGTAGTGGCGAGCTGAAAAAATTCGTCGCACCGAAGGGCGCAGTTCAAGCCACGCACGATACGGAAAGTTTGTATCAAGTCTCCGCGAAACTGCCTATAACTCAGGGGATAGAAATTAAGGTTAGTTAAGCGGATCTCGTATGGCAGTGCACTTTGACCTCTCATTAACTTTGTTGCTCGCCTCTGCACCCTTTCGAGCAGATTGTAATCTTGATGCGTCCACGGTCTCCAGGCCTGAATTGCATATTCAACTTGCGGCCTTACAAACGTGCCGAAGGCTTTGAAGAGACATTCTTCATCGAAGACTGTGAATGCCCGTCTGATAGAGTACAACATTGAAATTGGGATTTTAACTGCCTCGAGACATTGAGTAGAAGGCTTTAGGCTGTCTGCAACCCAGACTCCGAGATCTTTCTGCGTTTCTGCTTCTCGGAGTGGCATTCCGTTCAGATGTTATTGCCGCTTACTAGGGGTCTGATTTCCGAGGCGCAGTATGGTACATTTATTCAAATTGAAAGACAAGTGCCATCTGCGGAACCACTCGTCCAATCGACAAAGATTTCCTTAGAAGTTGGTCTCATCGGCAGCATTCTGGATGACTTTCCATATTTTTATGTCATCCGCAAACATGGCACTGTCACAGACCAACCCAACTACACAATCATTGATGAACAAGAGAAAGAGGGTTGGTTCGAGCACCGAGCCTTTTGGGACTACACTCTCTATGAATGTGCGCCTTAACTGCTGTTGTTCTATGCAGACAGTTTCACTGCTCACTAAGGGTTGTGGCGTGGAATGTTATTAACCGACGATGTAGCTCGGTGCTCATGGGAACATTTAGAACCACTGGGGATGGAAGTCAGGTTGCAGTGACTTCTCCTTAATGCAGCATTAGCGGGATCTGCAGTTGCGTGAGACGCGTACTGCCCCTACGGAAGCCTGCGGGGTACGGAAGAGATGCCGGGTCGTGTGCGTGGCACGCGTAGACGGGCTGCGTCTGTTCCTTTGGACACTGACTGGCCATTGGTGTAGGGTGGGTTAAGGAAGTCTGCTCTACTAGGAATCGGTTCAAACGAACCTCATCGGTTGCATCCACTCAGCGTTGAAACGTCGTCGCTTAAGGCTTTCAGCTTACTGGCCAAAATATCCCCGCAATATGTACTTCGTCCACTGCCTGTTATTTGAGGGACTGTAAAGTCCTTCCCTATGATTGATTTGCCAGCAGCCACATCTTCTTGGTGACTTTCCACACTATCGCTCAAATGTACGGGTTGTTAACTATCTGCTGGCTCGAGCAGAACGAATTTCCATAAGTGAAACGATAATTTCACTTCCCCCGTAGCTTAGAATGTACGCCTGAAGCTCATTTCGAGAGTCAGATTATCCAACTCTAAACACGAAATATGATTGGCTGGTCGAGGAGGCAGTGTTCAATGAAGTAGAAACAGCTGGATGAGATTTATGGAAAGCCTCTTTGGTCGTGGGAGAAGGGTCTCATTATCGGGATTCGCGCAGAGGGGATTTACGACAGGCCATAACGTCCTAACTCAATAATGGTCGTCCCAAGTATGATATGTAGAACGGGTAGGAGTGGCTTCGATATTGCGGTAGTCTGTTCCATTCTAAATCGACCTTTACGCACGTTACTTCAGCCGCTTTGTTGTGGCATTTAGAGGACAATATGTGATGCAAAGAGCTGTAGCCCAAACGCCCCAACAGTTGTAATCTCCTGCCTGTCCTGTACGGCAATTCGCACTTACCTCTTGGGCTGAATTTCAGGTGTGGAACGCGGCCGCATCGCAGATCTTCTTTTCCCTCGGCCCGGGCTTCGGAGTCCTGTTGGCGCTGTCCAGCTACAATAAATTCCGCAACAACTGCTACGGGTAAGGCGGAGGAGTACACTGCATACATCTCCTCCCCGGGAGCATTCAATTTTGTCCCTAACGGTTGGCCTCTTTTTGCCCTTCCACAGAGACGCGATGCTCACAAGTTTCATAAACTGCGCGACCAGCTTCCTGTCGGGGTTTGTAGTGTTCTCCGTCCTGGGTCACATGTGCTACCGAATGAAGAAGGAGATGTCTACGGTTGCAAATGAAGGTTAGCTGTTTTTCAGTCCTCATTTTGGTCTGAGGGGATGCTGCCGGTTATACAGTAGGTGGGCTAAATCATGAAATGTAACCGAAATTATGAAATGCGTTTTCGTTCCGAAAAGATTAATTAAGTTGGGTTCCAAAATTAATCATTGTACAGCGTAATTCCATAATACTTCAGCTACCTCAAGATGCCGGCTTTCGAAGGAACTTCTTTCCGGCTGCATGCAAAAGCCACACTCTGTAATGAATGACTACACGAACTTTTCTCATTGTTTTCGATGCCCTTAAATATTCAATTATATTTCATAGAAAAATAATTATTTTCTTGCTCATTCCGTAGAAAATGCCATCTTCTTTTAAGTTTATACTCTTAAGAAGGGTATAATTCGGTTTTCAAAAACTTTTCCAATTCCCGAATAATTCTGAACAAGGCCTGACGTTACACTTGCATTCAGGGGTTTCCAAACTACAAGCCGTATATTTTCCGCGAACGGAAAATCATACATTTATCTACGGTATTAGGAGGAGACCGTATAGGGTTCATAAAATTCAGCAGTGGATTTGAGCCATATTGTTAACTTTACATGTCACATTCGTAATTGCAGAAACATGACGTTTTATGGACGGCCATTTTAGGGTATTAAAAAATCTCACAATTAGAAACTTTTCTAAAACCGACTTTTTCCTTTCTTTCGAGTATAAAATTGGAGGAAGACGTAATTTTCTGTCAAATGAGCAAAATTACAAATATTTTTATGCGTGTTCTACATGAAATATAATTGAATATTTAAGGGCATCGAAAATTAATAAGAAAGATTCATGCTGCTTAAGTAATCATTTTTTACGGAGTACAGTTTTTGAATGCGGCCGGCATGCTGAGGTCACTGAATTATTATAGAACTGTGCTGCATGATGCTTAGTTTTACAACACTCTTTTCGAAACGAAAACGAATTTCTGACTTTCGATTGGCATTTTATGATTTAGCCCACCTACTGTACCGGCATGGTAATCCGTCAAATTGCTGCTGTGGTCCAAGAAATAGCCCGCTTGATTTAATTGCAGATTTGTGTTAGCGTATTTGAATGACACTTGGCTGGCCTCCCATTGGTAAATCTCATAGACGCTTGTGGGGAGTGAGAATGGTGTTCAGTAAGTTATCCTAACTGCAAAATGGGAAACTGGGCAACTTCGATCATGCATTTAAGACATCGGCACGTGGTGCTGACTATATACTATACTATGGTACATGACTTGTCCATCAGGAAGCAAGAAGCATAACAGAGGATGAAATGAGGGCTGGAATTGCAGATGGCGATTGTTTGTTGTTATCATCAGTCCGTCATACCCAAACCCTAATCGGGAAAAGCTGAACGCTAACTTGATGAGAGACCGAAATCGAGTTCAAATCTTAGGCTTCAACTGTTTGAGGTTTCTTGTCTGAGGACCGTAGATGAGTTCTAGTTTTAATCGTTAAGTCGAAACGAAACCGCTTATTTTGCTCTGCAAATAAGTTCACCCCACTGAAACCGTCGGGGGTTGGAAGCACTTATTCACTCCGATGCTACAGCGAAGGATTCGAATTTCAGGTCTTTCTGTTGTATAGCCAACACAGATAGAAAAGCCTGAAATGTTCAGCATGGCTTCCGCCTCTGTCTGACATAAGCACGGAATTTATGTGATAAGAGAATATGCTTGGAAAAGGAACTACGATGAGCGACTGTCAAGTGTTCTGAACTACTAGTCGTTCTATTCCTGAACACAAACACAGCTTATCTCTTTATTCGTTCGAACTTTCTCCAACTTACTTTCTGTTCTCTTTTATTGATTAATGAAAGGGGCTGCTCCAGTTAGGTTCACGGTCCCTGGTATGCAAACCATGCTACTACATACCAATCAGCAGTAAATACGGTTACACTTTAAAATTACCTGCTCAAACAGGCTCATGTACACCATCATACTCCCGTTATTTTTCCCTCTCCATATTGATTAGCCTTTGTTTTTAATTTTAACGGCTGAGGAAATCGAGGCTTCACGCTTGCCCTTCACCCTTATTAAAACTGAACGAAGCTGAAAAGCCAATACTCCTGAACTTTTGCAAAAAATATGTTGATAGGTCACACCGCCTTATGCTCATCTAATTGATTTTCCTGTTATTCTCGGTGATTATGACAGGAATTTTGGTAACTACTTCCCGATACTCGAGCGTTTTTATATTACGAATAAAACGAATCCTTTATACTATCAGTTACTTATCTGTCCAAATTACAAACTTCTGCTCAGTGCTTCTAGTTGGTGAATAGCAGTTGCCTAAATAACAGTCCTCTGGGCGCATCAGCTACGCGTTGCTACGTCCTTTTATCGTAATTGCACATTTTATTTTTAGAAATACGCTTACTGCGCATCTACAAATGTTACTCGAAATTTTTTCAGTGCCATTACACCACCTTGCCAACTTGTTGAGCGAACTGACGTCCAGTCCAGGGCCCAACAGGCGGTAGTGTAGTGTTGAGTGATGAAAGAATGCAAACTAGAGTGATCGGTTCCGCGGCGTGGGCCAGGAAAACTGTTGTTCAGTTGTCATGGTGTCAGACTGAACCACACGATTTCGGCTGCCACAGAGAGTATTCAAAGGCACATGGTAGAGACAGTCAACAATCTGAAGGAACACCCTCCCATCAAAGTTAACATTCCCCCTGACTACGGACAGAAAAACGAGTCCGTGAAGCAATGGTAGAGCGTTCAACTCGCTAATGCTAAATAACCAAAATAAAACCAGTTGGAATCTTAGTTACCCCAAAACCTAGAATCGGGTTGGGGTGGTCGTCGATGGCATGAATATCCTCGTCAGCAATCCTTCCTGAAAAATAAATGTGTCGTTTCGTTCTTGAGCACTGGAATTCGAGGTTGAAAAACGACTGACCGATGACGTCATGCGGGTCTAAAATGGCATGCCAGTCAGTACTTACATTTTTCCAGTAAAATCATTTCGACCGTTATAACTGTGTTCAGTTTTCGTAAAGAAGAAGAATTTCAGACTATTCATACGATGCAAAACTAATACTGATGCGTTTTTCAATTAAGTAACTTGTTATCATTGCAAGACCATGGCAGGTCAATACTTTGAGTAGAGAGATCCAACTAAACAATTTTCTACCAAGAGTGTTACCATTAGCCATAATGGCCGGTGGGTTCAGGAGTTAACCGGGTTTCTGACGCTAGTATGCCAAAGGCAGTGATTAAAAAAATCTAACTTTTTTATGTGGCCTTTCAAGCTAGTGTCTCACTTAATAACTGTGGAACAGCCGTCAAATCCAAATCTTCCCCTACTCACGTCTCCTCTTTCAAACACTTTTAGGTCCGAGCTTGGTATTCATTGCATATCCGGAGGCAATTGCAACCTTATCAGGATCAACATTCTGGGCAATTATTTTCATGCTGATGCTCATTACGCTAGGGCTGGACAGCACGGCGAGTTACATTTTACAAATAATTATTACTTAATCATAGAAGTAGATAGTTGTTATAATATTTATTTCGTTTTCGATGCAGTTCGGTGGACTTGAAGCCATTATCACTGGAATACTCGATAGATGGCCAAGACTTCGTCGACGGAGGGAAATTGTGGTTCTCATAATGGTTATTTATTGCTTCCTGGGAGCGCTTCCAACAACCACCAACGTGAGTTTGCGCAAAAATTCAAAATGCATAAAACTGAATTAATTCAAACCAATGACTTCACTTGAACTGCAGCAACAATTTACTCTTAATTAGGGTTGAACGACATTGTTTCGTCAAGAGAACACTCGTTAGCATTGAATTCCGCTCTAACCAGGGAGTTGGCATCAGTTTTCCCAGCGGGCAATCAAGCCTTATTGAACTAATTCCCTTTTGAGCCAAGGGTTTAATTTAATCATCCTACCTTGCCCTACGAAGCCTGAACGCTTTAACGCAAAATTCCTCGCTAGATTCCCTGCAAGACATTTTATGCAGTAAGCTCCGACCTCGTGGAAAAGCTTTTATATCACAGCATTTACGCTCATCGAGTACTCCTTCACATAGTTGTAATGAATTTCGTGCCAATGACCCTCCCCGAACTATGAGATTTAGCGAGACAGTGCCCTTTAAATAAACGTAGAAGTACTGTTAACAATCTTGTTCCCAAACACATACACTTTCCCTAAATTTCTGCCACACGATTCCGACAGTACTGATTGGTTTATTGGCCAGAGAAATAGCGAATTTAATGACGATCGCTGACTTGTTTTCTGTGCTAAGTCAGTTATGTTTCAGTCCTAAGCACCTCAGAGCAGTCTCAGAGGGGGGCCATTGATTTTAAAAACTAGCCAATCACCATCAGCTCTATTAACTCCGCTGCTTGATGTCATGTTATTTCTGACTCTCGACTGCTTATGTGTCCTAAGTCTGCAGCTCCAATAATTCTTGAATAGTTTTCCATTCTCAGATTGGCAAGGGTGAGCGATCCGAATTGATGATTTGAAGAAAAAAGATGGACTCACCGGAACGGGTTTATTTAGGTGCTGACGTTTCGAAGAGCTTGATCGGCTCCTCATTGCCAAAACGTAAAGTGCACTTAGTCAACCAGAAATTTCAAGTGGCATACCGCGTCGGTCGGCCACTGATGATCGATTTTACTCTGCTTTCACTGCCTCGGCCTCTCGGTAGATGGTTGGTGGGCGTCTCATCTGCGAAATTTGTGAGTCCCCGCTTCGTCGGGAGGAGTTGATTGAACCTTTGTCAGGTGGTCGGTCTGGTGGTTCTTCTTTCTCGCTGAGTAGACTCGCATTCGGCCTGCCTACGTATGGTCTTCTTAAGTCCAGTGTGGTTACTGAATCCTGAGTTCTACGGACGTGAAGACGTAGGACTTTGTAGACTGCAGGAAGGTCCAGATGTCTGTCGATGGTGTTGGCAACGGAGTGCCAAGCGTCGAGTCTTAGCCGTTTTGCTTTTGCGTTGCCCCGGCCTAAGATGGTAGCTCTCTGGGCTCGTTTTCTTGTCGGTTACGACCGAGAATATACAATGGTAGGGGGCGGGATCGAGACCCAGGTGTTCCACGTTTCGGGGTTGGGTATGACCGACTGACGACGACTAATAAGCCAGAAATGGCCATTCCAGTCTGTCTTGCCTTTGTCGGCAATGTTATTCTGCCTGCAGTACGCGCCGCTGTGCAGCTGCTGGTTGGGCTCAAGGAAGAGCCCCAAGGCACAACGGAACGAGTTCGTTCCGCAACGCGATCAGTGTGCGTCCTTCTATCACCAAACAGGAGTGATCCCGAAACTTCTATTCCAGGAGCAATTTGGCAGAATTGAAGAATTTCTACTATACTCAAGGAGCCATAGAAGGCTTACTGCTAGTCAGCCCGTCACACGGTCTTTTTCTAAAACTGATCCTGATGCTAGTATCTGCTGCATGCTATGCCAAAGTTCAGAATATGCTTTATCTTGCAGGGCGGCTATTATGTGCTGACTCTCTTTGACACGTACGGGGCTCCGTTCTCAATCCTTTTCATCGTCATCTGTGAGTGCGTCGCGCTTTGTTGGTGCTACGGTAAGTTACAGTTTGCCCTCGGTCACAAAGAATTTTCAACTAATTCTCAGAAAGGGACTTTTTTGGTTATGTCTCTCAGAGTAAGACAGGACATCGGATTACCTACACGAAAGCTTACTAGGGATCGAGCAATATGGTACTGTGCGCTTTTGCTTAACGGTCAGCGGTAATTGTCCAAAAACTTACAGTTTTGTGAAAGAATTTATATCTTCATCGTTTGAATCCCCTTCGTCTTCCGTGGCCCAACGAGCTGATTAATTATTAAAGCCAACCAAATTACACGCCGTTTGCCTTTGCACGGATAGCCACAGAACTTCTGGGTTGGCTGACAAAGCTCCAATACGATCAGACAGACCAAAAAAGCGGATAACAGAATGTAAATTCACTCTTGAATTCATTATCAGAGACCAAATCCGGTAAAGGTAGCGGCCGCGCGGCAGAGAATTATGAGTGTGATCCGCTTGCTGTACAGACGCGTGATTACTAAAATTAGCAGCCCCGCAGTCATCGCGGGTGTTCACACTCCGTACGATAATCAGTTGTCCCAACTTCATGACTCGTGTTGGTGACTTGCGAAATAAGCACTAGGCCACTTGGTTCACGAGTGCTGCCACTAAAATTGGCATTCATCCACGTGCTCCCCGCGCGGCTAGTTTCTCTACCCGGGCCCACAAATAGACCAAGTGGTACATGGGTTGACTCAACGCGGGGGCATGTTCAGGACACGGCGCGCGTTATTAAGTTGCCACACATGGGTACGTGGAGTGGTGGCACACCTAGGTGCAGGCCCACTTGGCGCCGTTCACCTGAGCCCGTTTCCGCCTCTGGTCTTCATGACTCTGTCTTGACACCTGACCCGAGGAGGTAGGGCATGACAGAGTGCAGTGGATGAAGCGCAAGTCCACAGCATTGCAAAAGACTAATTCACGCGCAAGCCAGTCTCAGCTCCCACCATGCTAGGGGGCATACGGTGGACACCGCCCTAGCATAATCGCAGAACTTAAGCAGCAGTCTTTACACCTGACTCGAGGGGGTAGGGGACGAGAGAATGCAATGGATGAAACGCAAGTCTACTATCGGAAGACATTCAGTCACGCGCAAGTCACGGTCTCAGCGCCCACCATGCTACGGGACATACGGTGGCTGTCCACAACGAAAGTTAGCAATGAATATGCCTTCGATCCATAAGAAACCTTTCCTTAATAAGTTACATCTTTACGAAATGCTTTATTACTGCACTCCGTTGCACGGTGTGGACAAGTAAAAATCTGACACTTTTTTGCCGTTTCTTTTACGTTTCTAAACAATATTAATATTTTTCTATTGTAAACGTAAGAACATGCTTTTCTCCATACATTGAGGCCATTTCCACTGTTTTGGTTCGCTTTAAGACTCCGTTCTTCTATTATGAATGCACGACAGAGCGCCTATATAAATAATGATACTTTTCTGAAACTATTAGTGTTTTTCTAGTTCTATTTCTAAATAAGGTATGCACAGAAGCTAAACTACACGACAAATAGTGTTTCATACGTTCAGAACTGGAAATGACCATTCGGTGGTGGTCATTTATATGACATCAGGTAGAATTTTCCAAACGGCAAAACAATTTCAGCTCGTTTAAACGAAGGAATCCCTATCTGCGTTATTACTGCACCTCAGGGCACCACATCGCACAGATCTACTCATTTGACTTATAGGAATCGACAAAACCTCTGATTGTCTTAAAAGTACCTTTGTGTTAGCAGGTCGATTACCACGGTTAACATCGGACATAAAATAAATTTTCAAATTCGGCTAAATCTACTTATTAATACTCTCGCGAATAAATTACTATCCTTTCAATGAAAAAGTCGCTCAGATGCGTAACCGGAGTCTAGGAAATGTATTAGCATAGGAAACTGCAAGAATATATTGCATCGTCCATTTTCGCCAAATTTATTAATATTTTACTTGATATAATTATGTAAACACAGTTAATGCACAAGAAAAATACGCTTCATTGGTGGATGTGGGTGAGTGAACAAAATTCGCAACGTTAAATACGTCCAGACGTACTGTACGGTGGACATCGTCAGAATCACGGTCGAACTTTTGCCCGGGTAAAGTCGCAGAACCTAATTGGCAGTGTAATTATTTGTCTACTATCTCGAAATACTACCCGTTGCTTCAGCTTCGCGGTTACGGGGGTTTGTATGATAAATGTTTTGACGATATTGCCGATCGACCGACTTATGACGAGAGCCCGGGAAAAAAACTTGATCTGGTTTAATGGTCCCCCTCCGTCCCATGGTATTACTGAAAGGCATTACAGCTAACTGCCAAGCTGATGGTTTGGGTGCCTCAAAGTGTTGACTGCTGATCCACTCTCCTGACTACTCCGTTAAAAAAAACTAACATTCGCACACTTTGCAATATATATCCCACCTGGAGGCCGGACCACAGTTAAACTCTTCCCTGACGCATCCTGCTTGCTCTGAGATGGCCGGGATTAGATTCTTTGGAGGTTGACTTACAGATCGTACCAGAGGTTCAGTTCAGTTTAGTTTATTGAGGGAAACAGGTGCAAGCCTCTGAGTACTCTATTTGCGACGTAAAACTTGGTGTACGGAGACAAATTGGGCGTGAGTCTCAGGGGTTGAGCTCAATCTCTCATCGTTCTTGTTCATTTCGGGACAGGAGCCTCTCAAGATTCCTTTTAAAGCTTTCTACCGATTGAAGGTAAAGAGTTCCTACCAGCACACACTCAATATCAAACTCTGCTGTAGATTCGGCCACAATCAAGTTATTGCTCCAACGTTCGTGTGCACTGGCTATGATTACTCATTTCTGGTTTTGATGCACGACCAATACGGCTACTTGGCTTTGTCAGACAGTGAGCTGTAGTCAACAGCCATCATTGTGCTGTCTGTCGAAGTTATCTGCGGACGTGCTCATTCGCACTGGTTTTGCATTCGCGTTTAGACGGTCACGGTCGTTTCTGCCCCATGTAATGCGAGAAGCAATCGGACAGAAGATCCTTAAACCTGCTCCCACAAAATAAACTCAACCGAAGTCAGAAACTCCCTCCTTCACAGACGTGATTTGGCAATGCAAGTACACACCGTTACATCTTCAATGGTCAAGGATATCTGAGACAACAGTTCAGAATTCTGTACAGAATAGAGCCATCCTTCTGGTTTCCTCATCATAACCTGACATCCGAAAGCAAGCTTGATGATCGTGGCATTTGCGTCGTCCATATTTCCTTAACCAGGACAGTAGCACAGATTTTAGGGCTCATAGCCGAGACGATATTGGACACACTGATCTCCACGAATCATAAATTTGAATTCATGGCATGGTAAATAGAGGATACTAACCTCAGCACCCAAAAGGGCCAAGTGTTGACATTTAACGAATACACCGGTGTCGTCCTTCAGGGCATACGTTTTATGATGGTGGAATTAAGCAAACAGTTGGCCTTCATTTATATCCTTGTCTGCCGCAAAGATTGCTCAGGTAAACTACGAAAACGGCGCAAGTACCGAATCGCACCAGCGCTTACTCAGATTGCAGTAGGTATGCTAACTTACGAAATGTTAACCGAAATTCTGAAATGCGCTGTCGACTCGAAAAAAATCACTTATGTGGGTTGGTAATACTGATAACCGTGCAACATAATCCCATAATAATTCAGTTACCTCAAAATGTCGGCTTTCGAACGAACATCTTTCCGATCGAATGCAAAATTCCTACTCCGTAAAAAGTGACTACCTAATTAACATGCATTTTTCTTATTTATTTTCGAAGCCCTTAAAAATTCAAGTATATTTAATAGAAAACATGCATAAAAAGATTCATTCGTTTACTTTTTCGGCAGAACATTACGTCTTCTTCCAATCTCATACTCGTAGGAAGGGTATTATTCAGTTTAAAAAGTTTCTAATTGTGGCATTTTTGATACTGTGGAATGCCCGTTCATAAAATTTTCGTGTCTTTGTTTTTACTAATTTTGTTTGTAACGTTTACAATATGGCCTAAATCCACTGCCAAATTTTATGAACTCCATTTAACCTCCTCTTAGTACCGTGAAGAAATGTATGGTTTTCCGTACGCGAAAAGTATGCGACTTGTAGTTTGGGAACCGTAAATGCAAGTTTAACAGCAGGTCGTGTTCAAAATTATTTGCGGATTAGAAAAGTTGATGAAATTTGACTTATACCTTTCCTTCGACTATAAAGTTGAAAGAAGACGTAATTTTCTACCGAATGAGCAAGACAATGAATATTTTTATGCATATTTTCCTTGAAATATGATTGAATTGTTAAGAGTATCGAAAATCAAGGAGAACAATTCATGCTATTTAAATAGTTATTTTTTACAGAGTACTGTTTTTGCATGCGGCTAGAACGAAGTTCGTTCGAAAGCCGGCATCTCGAAATAGATGAACTGTTAAAGAACTATGCTGCATGATTATTAATTTTAAAGCCCTACTTAAGTACACTTTTTGAGACGCAAACGTATTTGAGAATTTTGGCCAACGCTTCCCGAGTACGCACACCTACTATAGTCACGAACCTCATGTGTATCGGCGTCTCTGGTGGAAAGTGCAAATTCACTATAGCGAATCCGAAGATAAGGTTGCTGGATTGCCCCACCTCCGACGGGTACTCCGAGAGAGAAGCCACAAACACAACTTTGTCAACTGGCGTGTAGGGACGAGATTAGAGACAAATCGCACTGCAGCGTACCCCTGTGCCAAGGACATTCTGGGTATTGTAAACTGTCCGTGCATTCTACTCACACAAACAGAAGACGGCCATCGGCATGACCAAAGCACGTTCTGTGAGGGCAAAAGGCATTCGGAGTCGTTGAGGGCGGAGAGGAAGGAAGCTTACGGTGTAAACGGACGCTCAGCTAGGTGTCACCAGTGAGAAGGAATGACACTAACGCCAGTATTTTATCTCACGCGACCACTCCCTGATACGCCTTTTAACTTAATAAAGTCAAAATCACGTGGTAGATAAAAGGCGCGTGAGTCGCGAGATGCACAGGTCATGCATGAACGACTTCTGGTTCACCAATAAAACGCAGTGATCTCTTCCCTCCAGCCTCCCTGTTCCTTCCTACAACCTTTTTTGCAGAACAGGGTGACTTGTCATGCGGGGAACGCCTGCATGAACACTGTTTCTAATGGCAGTGAATCGACTGGCCGCGTGGGTATCATGACAGTCGCCAACATCAGTCATGAACATCCGCGATGACTGCGGAGGGTTACTAATTTAAGTAGCTGCGTGTCGCTGTAGCAATGGCATCCTAGACATGCCATTCAGCTGTTTAATCGCAACCTTTATTTGGTGCTGTTCGAGAGTGAATGTAAAACTTTCGCGGAGTAAATTATTGTCCCATCGATAAAGCCTTTCTCTTTTCAGATTCGAAATATTTGACGAACCTCGGATGTGAACAGTAAATTTGTCCGCACAGGTTTACAAGGTCAAATCGCTCAGCTCAGCCTATGCTTCGGCAGTTCATCAAATTTTGGATGGAATTATAGCCAAAGATTACTTTTGGCGTGGCCGTTGATAGAGCTAGCATTTCAAAGACCGTAAGCTTGGTCTATGGTCTATGCGTGACCGATCTCATGAAATGTTGGCCGAAATTCCGAAATGTGTTTTCGACTAGGGAGGATTAACAATGCGGCGATGTAGTAGTGCTTTTCATGTAGCAAAATCCTATAGTACTTCGGACTCGCCAGGATGTCGGCTTTTGAGTGCACTTCTTTCTGATCTGCAGCAGAAAACGTACTCGGTAAACAATGGCTACTTACGTAGCATGCATTTTTTACATTGATTTTCGATGGTCTTACACATTCAAGTATATGTCATAGAAAACATGCACAAAAATGTGCTTTCCTTTACTTGTTTGGTAGAAAACTACATTGACTGTATATTTTATACCCCAAGGAAGGTTATCTTTCGGTTTTCAAAAGATTAGAGGTTTTTAAGACGGTACGGTGTCCATATATACAACGCCGCACGTGTTAGTTTACCAATGTTCCTCGTGAAGTTTACAACACAACCCGCATCCATTGCATAATTTTATGAACCCTATACAGTGTTTTCTTAAAGGTATAGAGGAATATATGATTTTCCTCACGCGGAAAGCATGCAGCTTATAGACTGAAGTCGCTAACTGCTAATGCAACGGCTGATCGGGCTTAAAATTATTCGGGAATTGGGAGCCTCTTTCGAAACCTAAATATACGCTCTGTTCGGGTATAAAATATAAAGACAATATAGTTTTCTACCAAACAAGTAGAGGAGAGTACCGTTGCTGACAAGAGATTGAAATGAAATGCACTCAAAAGCCGAGATCTTGATGAGTCCGAAATACTAAAGTCTTATGCTATATGATAAGTAATATAACAACGCCACCTTATTAATCCTTCCTAGTCGAAAACGCATTTCAGAATTTCGGACAACATTTCAGGCGATCTGTCACGCATTGTACACATCTATTCCTACCGTAGGATGGCAGTTTCAATTCCCCTGTCAACAAAGATCAGCCCTCCACTGCAGCCTCATGAATCTCTCGGTCATTTTCTATTCCTGGAGGATATCTGCAAACGGAAGCACGCACACTAAACAGTTTCTCCACAGGTGAGGTCCTATTTGTACCAGAAAAGGACTTCATTGTGGAACAACTGTTTTGGAGTCTTGTTTCGTTGGCACTTTGCCAAATTTAAGCCGTGTGAATTTATTTATTTATTTCTTGTAACAATCAGTGCCAAATGCTTCTTGGTGTAAAGTAGCTGTGCTAAAAGTCAGTGTTTACTCTACGTTAGACGTTCGAACCATTTATTCCGATCGTATTAGGTCAGCCAAACCGTAAAGTACGTAGTGGTCATGTCCGGAAACAGACTTCCCCATGGCGGCAGAGCATTTGTGGAAAAAACCATCCCGTAAAATAAAGGATAGAGCCAGACACATCACGTATGGTACAAATCCGACATTTTATTTGCCGAACTACACGTCAGGTTCGTGACTACAGTAGGTATGCTATCTCAGGAAACTTTAGCTGAAATCCTCAAATGCGTTTTCGTCTCAAAAATTTTACCTAACTAGACACATCATGTGTAGTTAAAATCGGACATTTGATTTTCCTAAATCCCTTTCAAGGAGCCAATGCTGCATATTTACCTAGGGAGTTGGAATTTGGAAATCAAGAGAACAAAAGAGAAACAAGGATAAATATGTTGGTCGACAATTGCTTCTGTTCCATTAAAAATACTTCGAATTTAAAAGTTTTCTGCAGCAAAGGTTAAATTTGAGTACGCCGGCTAGAAGTATTTTCGTAATTTTAATCGACTACTAATAAATATTTCACACTGACTGGAGAAGAGAAGACAATGAAAAAATACTCAAATTTATTAGCAATAAACCAGCATTTACTTGCCTGTAGACACCAGACAGAGGCAGAAATCGGGAAAAAAAACACGCGAAAACCAAAAAGAAGTTCTTTTGCTATGCATGAAGTCGAAAAAAGGTCTTACTTGCTTCAGCAGACAAATGTTCAGACATCTACGCCAGTTTTTGATACTAAGCGATCAGTAAGGATTAGAAAGAGGAGGATGGCTGGGAAATCATGCCCAGGGGGACGCAAACGCACCAACCATCAGGCAACCAGGTGTCAGAGGACTTCCAGAGTATACAAGGCTGCGAGGGCCATGGTTTGTTGGCCATGGCTCAGCAGAATCATTGTCTTACGGCATATCCACAAGATACTTCAGTCGCGCCGGATGCTGGCTTTTGAAAGGCCTTCTTCCATTTAATTTGCGAAAACTAGACTCTGCAAAAAAATGACCACTGAAATGGTGTGATTTCTTCACGATGTTTTTATAAATGCGAAGATATTTCATAAAAAACATGAATAAAAATAAACTTTTGTGCTAATTTGGTGTCCAATTATATTTTTTCAAATATTTTGCTTATGGAAACGGTATTTTGGTTTTAAAAAATTTTTGGGCGACTGTAAATAACTCCGCTCAAATGCCAGCACCCACTGTTCCACTTCTCTTACAATTTTACTGGATTCGTGAGTCCAAAAAGTGCGTCTGATGTGGAAGAAACAAGGTAGCAGACACGCAGTGGATGTGCATCGGATATGAAGTCGACTTTTTCTTGTTTAAAAAAACATTTCTCTCAATACGAGTGAAAATGCGTTTCCCAGGAAGCTTCGGATTCTTAGGAGACTCGATCGCCTGGGCGAGAATTCCGTTCGCCCGTGATTTCGCAATCACGCCCTCACCCGCATCCTTCTTAACATTTTCTTGGTATTGCCTCGCTGGGCGCAGAGTAGCGTTGCTAATCTTATTTTGCTTCCTGACACCATATTTTAATCACCACTGAAAATATTATGTGTGCATTTTTTCCTTTCACAAAGGTACTCGTCGCTTTTCAAAGGACGTTAAAAGCATGCTTGGTTTCAGCCCCGGTCTGTTTTGGCAAATTTGTTGGACTTTCGTCAGTCCTGTCTTCCTCTTGGTAGGTCGACGTTTAAATATGAAGTCGAACAGAAAAGGCAAATGGTATTGCTTTTATTATCGGTTTTTTCGATTTGAAGACTTTTTGACCTTAGTACTAACTTTAGGATGAGAAATTGACAGATAGTCTGCAAATAAACAGATGAAACAGCAAAGTTCACGTGTTTTACACGCATGCGATCTGAGATTCTATGCTCTGGTAGAGGCCAGAACCAACATATCACCAATCAGAAACAAAAACACAGACACCAGTTTGCTGTTGAGAGGAAAAGGAGGGGAACAGTTCGATCTCTCTGACCCCTGATGTTTTCCCCCTCCAAATTAGCGCAGGTACCGATGTGAAGTATAACATTTAACTTGAACAAGCGTGCCTGCCGCTAAAAATCTAGGGAGAACCGTCAGGCAGCGGGCTGATAAAAACATAATAATCTGAATGCAGTTCGATTTTGAAACGTCTCCGGAAGTCTGTTTTGCTACCTGCCCATACCCCCGTAAAAGTGGCTACTCAGGCAGCTGGAACTTTTTCCAGTGATTGTCTATGATTTTATGAATCTACGAATATTTTATAGAGGGCATGCACAGAACTACCACTTCTTATGCTCACTTTGACGAGGACCTATTAGGTGACGGCATGTCTTTATTGTGAAAGATTCCTACTTACTTTGTTATGGCGGGTATTTAACACTAGGGTCCGTCGTCGATAGGCGTTTAGAGCCAGAATTAGGATTTAGAGTTGACTTTCGGACCATACGGTTAGGGGTGGCATTTACGGTTAGATTTAGGGTTAAGGTTAGAGCTAGGGGTAAGATGTGGTTATGTAGCCCCACCTGATGGACACAGTACTGTTGGAGTTGGGGTTAGAGCTAGAGGTAGGGGTTGGGGTTAGGGGTTAGATTTAGGGTTAGAGGTTAGGGTTAGGGCTAGGGCAACTATTTTTCAACCATTCGGATTGAAACCACGCATGCCCAATAGTCTTTCTTTCGCGTACAATTACTTGACCTCGTCGCCCGTGCGTTCCTCGGCCCCATCTGCAAAAACCCCTATTACCACCGGTCCCGTATAACAGGTAGCTGGGGTTTGTATACCTCGGGAGAAACTACGTAACCACGTCGGACCGTGTTAGCTTAGATGTGGGGGTAAGGGTTAGAGGCAGGGTTAAGTTCGCCCTCCGCACACTATCTCACCCAATCCGATTATCATTACCTAGTAGTCAAGGCTTTTCTGTTTTCCGCCGGTTTACGTGTTTCTAACTCGTGTCTTTCAAATGTGGAGTCTGTTCCGGTACCTTGTAGGACTAATAAAACAAACATGTATTAGAAATGCGAGTATTCTTAATGTCTTCCGCAAACTTCGTTAATATCCTTGTTCATTTGCCCTATTGATAAGACTAATAATAGCATCCCTTCCTTTTAAAAGGAGTCACTGTGATCCAAATTATCAGTGGAGTTGTATTATATCCTCATTTTGTAATAACTTGCGTCCACTAGTACACAAAGTGGTCCATGCAAATTGCTCGATTTTAAGAGTCCCCTATGTGCCCTTCTTAATGGCATTTGTATTTTTCATAAAACTGACGGCCTGCGGTTCATAATTGGGAAGCCTAAACGCAAGTACAGCGGCAAGTTGGGAGTTGAGAAATATCTTAAGACTGAGTGATAGGTTAACTTGAAGTACAGAATTCGAAGAAAGCTTACTTTTCGACAAGGATTATACAAGAAAAGATATGATTACGTACTTTTTCTACAAGATATGTCTGAATCTACAGATGCCTCGGAAATCAATGGGTGACATGGATACTGCTTAAGTAGTCATTTTGGCGAGGGAGGTTTTTGGGGCAGCTAGAAAAACGCGCGGTCAAAAGCTCTTACTCCGGAGTGAACGAGTTACCTTTTGGTTTGCTGCAGGATTATCAATATCATAACCCCATCTACTTAATCCTTTCTAACCCAACTCACATTTCAGAATTTTTATTACGGTTTCATGGGGTACGTCGCCTGCTATAAGTCAATCGATCACCTTAGGTATCTTGTTCAGGTACTGTTATAACCCGACCTGGTACTCGTTAATAACACTGACTAATGTCCCAAACCACTGACATGGAAAAGAAAACGACACGGTCGGCCAAGACAAAATGCACCGAAACCTGCAAGTCATTTTATCTGGAAAACTGTGTACACTTATAGCCTCGTGTTCAGATTGGCTAGCATTCTATCCAATGAGCTCCAAAATGCAAGGGCTAGTAGGATCGGGGAAGTTCTGCAGACATGAACCAATCAGTTTCTAAGACAGCACTGTGGCTGCGGCCAATGGCGAGACGCTGTCGAGAGCGTGCGGCTAGGACGCGTGCGCGTGCTTTCTAGCGTGATTGAAAGGCGCTTTCTTGTGAATGCGAACATTCCGCTCTGTTATTTCAGGTGAGATCACGATCCAGGTTTATGAAATGCAAATGGGGGCCCTTAAAACAATGTTTCCAGCGAGTGATTTCATTTGATCTTTTAGTGTTTCATTTTCTGGGCTGGGTGTAAGTCTGCCGGGAATAGATAAATAAACCCAGAAGGCTGCAGCAGCTAGGGCACTGAGATGCATCATAGCTGCAACAACCATCAGACCAAACTCCAGAAGATGGAAAATAGTCAGTAGGAGAAGTCTCTTCAGTGCAAGGTCCGGGGGCTCTAGCTCCGGTCAGCAGTGTCCGCTGAGCAAGCCAGGGCGCTAGTTAAAAGCAGTGCCTCAGACCTAAGGCGGGGACAGTGAGTGAAAGTCTCCGTGATCGGCTGTCGCGTGTGTTTGTTTAAAACGCAACCAGAGACAAGCGTGAGTGTAATGCGTCGTCACGTACGCCATGCATGCCTGCAACCGAATGCGAGCGCGCGCACGTGTGTGCGTGTCTGTCATGACGCTGGTCGTGCCAATCAGGCGGACTGCACGAGGCTCAAAGAATGGCCTTGAAGCAGATGGAACGCGTGCACGTGGCGTCTGACCGTTGGAGAAAGGAGAGGATGGGCGGCGCCGCCTCAGCTGTCGGATGCGGGGCCACGCCTCACGCTCGTTTCTAGTACTTTACTGGGTGCTTTTGAAAATGGGCCATTCTTGAAGAAAGAGACACGACTGCTGAAACAATAGTTTTATTCGCCCGACGCTTCGGAATTCTGCTATGACCCATCATCAGAGACAAGAGTTTTATTCGCCCGACGGTTCGGACTTCTGCTATGACCCATCATCAGAGACAATAGCGGGATCACTCTCCAAACGCAAACCAACCACAGAGGTGGGGAAGGGGGATTTGAAAGTGGGTCCTTTGGTTATCGAATCCTATTAAGTCTATTTCTCTCTCATTGAGCCACAGACCAGTTGTTCTGCCGGCTGCGATCGAGAATATTACCTTTGCTGGAAGCGCGCCCACCAATCGGTCAAGGTCTTGGGGTACGATGGGACGAGCAGGTCCCGAAACTTGACCAGCTAACGCCTTTCAAAGTAAGCTTATAGTTCCTATCGCAGATGTGGCTCGATGTTGAAGGGCCCTTAACTTGCTAAATCTCAGTGACCAATAAGATCGCGGATTAAAGGATTAAGTACAGCAAAGAACTGTGGTGGGGCTGACTGATGACGGAGGACGAGCCGGAAATTGTAATCTCCGTCCTCCTTGTCGATGAATGCAATATCACAGTACGAGCCTCAAAGAACCGAAATCTTTTTCAGTATTATCAGCTGTGGAAATTCAGGCAGTGAAGCCTCTGAAAAGTGACAAAGCATTACCATCTTTCCTACGGACAAAAGAAACTACATTGCGATTTTGAACAGAACAGATAACAATGGCAAGATGTTATCACTGCCGGGAGATAGTTAAAATTATAAGGCTCTTAACGCAACCCGACCAAAGCACAGAGTTCAGGAACTGATAAAAGTTTGAAGTGTTTTGTAGAAAAAAAACGACTATCAGGAGAGATTCCCAAATCTCTTAGACAAAAAAAACCGAACTTTGCCAAGATTTAGGAACTTGTCGGAAGTTTACAAACCCAGTGTACCATTGCGGCCGATATTGCCACTCTAAATGGCGACTCCACGAGCTCCAACCACTAGCAAAGGATTGTCAAACTTCAATCCAGAATGATAGAGAATTTCTAAACAATTTTAGTGTTAGAAGATGCCATATTAGCATCACAGGTACTAACCAAAGGCCCATACACGCGTGTTTCGCGGATATCCTGCCGCTGCATGGCACAGCTGCGAGGTGTTCGGATCTTCAAAGGGTCCCCTAGCATTCCCCGTGTGCTTTCTGGTAGATACTCCAGTTTTTAGACGTTGTTGTTCTTTAATTTCCTCAAAATATCGGCGAAACACGCGTGCTCGGGCTTTTAGCCACCATCTGTGGCGCTAAAATATACTATTAGCTGTCTGTCGGCAGTTAATGAATGTTACGCAGTCATCCCGCTGTGACCGATGGACTTCGGCCCAGATATTCATGCAACGAATTTCAGTCTGCGCCTATAGACCCTAGTGTAAACTGATCCACTCCAAGTAACCAGTTAATTTCGCAGGACATTAAAAAGCAACAATCTTTGGACTAGTTATGAAGACTCAGGACTTTGGTGGACGAGATAATGATATTTTTCGAAGTTTTCTTTCTCTCTTTGCGTCAATTCACATTTGTCAAGGCAATGCGAAAAAAACTTGGTAAAGTGCGGTTTGGTAGCTCCACCTGGTGGACACGATACTGTCCGGGTTGGGGTTAAGGGTTAGGGTTATGGGTAAGGGGTTATTGTAAGGGGTCAGGGTTAGGGATTAGAGTTAGGGGCTAGGGCAGTTATTTTTCAAGCATTCAAAGTACAACCACGCATTCTAAATAGTTTTTCTTTCGCATACAATTACTTGCCCTCGTCTCCTGTGCGTTCCCCGGCCCCACCTGTAAAAAGCCCTATTACCACCGGTCCCATATTAGAAGTGACTAGGGTTTTCTTTCCTTCAGGCGGGGCCTTATTATTATTTAACCCTAAATTGTGCGTGCGCTATGTAGATGACTGCTTATTGTTAAAAGGGTTCAAGTGGAAACGCTGCATAGCGTTAGTAAATCAACACTACCAGGAATCACTTTTACGATAGGAAAAAAGTTGGCACCAAACTTTCGGTTCTTTATATTCTCGTACAGCGAAGGACTGATGAGACATTCCACACATCAGTGTACCCCAAAGAAAACTTATGAGATGGCTATCTTAAATTATAAGAGCAACCATCATAAACGAAATACTGCCAACAGCCTAACTAAATGAGCAAAGACACGATGCTCTTAAAACAAGATTTATTAAATAGAATTTACTTACTTGCTTGAACTGTTTTCCTAAAATGGCCACCTATAATTTTTGTGTCCCCATCCATAAAGCGACAGGGAACAGAATAAAAACACAGGTAATTAAGCTGCTCTGGTCTGGTGCCGAAACCAATAAAACTGATAAACACTTCTTCACATTTACCATGTGTCCGAACTCATTGAAAGACACCTGAAGAATCACCGATAGTCCGACTGCCGTGACCAACGGGGTCCACCGTGCGCGTCGCAGCAAAGTGAGGCAGGCGCGGAGGCTTGCACAGAATCTACCACACTCCCTCCTCCATCCCCCGGTCCTGGTGTCAAGACAGAGTCAAGAAGGCCGGACTCCTCGCTGCCGCGCCCCGCAGCGGCAGAATATCAGCGACACATGTGTCTGGGCTTTTAGTTTGCATCTATGGCGGGAGTACGGTATGACGACCCGTCATATATGTTCATACAAATACACATGCGGTAGAGGGCGCTCACCGATCGTTCTTATAGAACTCACTCGTCCCGTTGTGCCTTACAGACTCTCTCTCGAGCCCGACCGGCAGCCGCGCAGCGGCGCGCGATACAGGCAGAACGTTATTACCGATAAAGACAAGGGATATCGAAATGGCCACTTCTGGTTTATTATCCGTCGTCAGCCAGTCATACCCAACCCCAAAGTGTGCAACACCTGGGGCTCAAACTTGCGACCTGTTAGTTCGAAGTCCAACGCCTTTAACCACTGGGCCATGGGCTCGTTTTCCTGTCGGCTTTGATCGGAAATATACAGTGTCAGAGAGGCGTTCACTGGTCGTTCTTGCGGAACTCACTCGTTCCGTTGTGCCTTACGGGCTCTCTCTCGAGTCCAACCAGCAGCCACACAGCGGTGCATGATATAGGTTAATAAACCAGAAATGGCCATTCCAGTCTCCCTCTTCTTTGCCGCTAATAACATACTGCCTATCTTATGCGACGCTGTGCGGCTGCTAGTTGGACTCGAGAGAGAGCCCAAAAAAGGCACAACGGAACAAGTGAGCTCCGTAAGAACGATCGGTGGGCGCCCCCTACCATTGAATAGATAGCATATGAACAGGTGATTTTGGAATACAGAAAAGGATTAGCAATCAGGCATGATTAAGAAAGGGGAAGGATGGGATGAAAAGTGCATGATGATCTGAGAGAGCTGGATTTTCTGAGCTCAACGGAAGTCTTCATGCCTTGGCTGTTCGAATGATAGTTGGCAGACGAAACTTGGTTGACAGCGGTGTGAAAATGTAAAATAAGTTCCCCTCTCCCCCAATAGGTACTTTCCGATATACCTAAAGAGGTTTAACGAACAGTACGGAGGAGAATTTTCTGCAAGATAAAAACTACATTTTTTCGTCGCTGAAAATTCCCGTTTTCTTCTCAATGGCCAAGAAACTTGCTTTGACAAGATAGCAGTGAAAAAATAGTCCCTATCGAAAGATAAAAACCGCCAAGTAACTGAAGCAGTGCCTTCCATATGCATTGGGGTGCCGAACCAATTCAAAAACCTAGTATTTGGTCTACTACAGCCAAGTAAAGCGGATACGCTTGAATCGCCGCTGCGATTGTTTTTACTGAACGCACTCGTCCCTTAAGGACTCTCTTTCTCTCTTGAGCCTAACCAGCAGCCGCAAGGCGGCACATGATATAGGCAGAGTGTTATCACCGAAAAAGACAGTGGAGTCTGGAATGGAAATATATATATATCAGAAGGGTAAGATAGAGCTTGGGAGGCAGATCAATACGGGACTGTTTTGGGTTTGTTTGCCTTTATCTAGCCAATCACAACTCTGACCACCATCTGGGACTGAAAACTCAAACATGCACACTCACATAGGGCGCAGATGGCTCACCTCCTGGGGTTTACCTCCCTACTATCATAGCTTTGTCTATTTCGGTCTGGCAGATGGTTGCCTGTTCGGGACTCCTGTTACCCATAAGAAGCTTTTTTGCTTCAGGAGGACAATAGATCTGTGTCCGAACTAGTTGAAAGACACCTGAGGAAGCACCAAATACATGTGGCGCACAAGCCGACGACTACACTTCGTAACCAGCTTGCACACCCTAAGGATAGGGTTGGCTATTTAGAAAAGAAGGAAGTCGTCTATAAGATACCATGCAACACCTGTAATGCAGTTTACTGTGGTCAAACTGGGAAATCAGCCTCTACGCGAATACACAAACATCAGTTGGCCGTAAAAAGGCGTGACCACTTGTCCCAAGTTGCCATGCATACGTTGGAAACGGGACACAAATTCGCCTGGGACAGGACCCGCATTGTAGGTGTCTGCTCATCCAAAAAGGGTCGTGAATTTTTAGAGGCCATCCATTCTGATAGCGCATGCATCAATCGACACGTAGAATTGGACACGGTGTACAACAGCCTCAAGGAAAAGTGGAAAAGGCGTTAGCCAATCAGAACATTACATCAGCAGGAGTGACAAGGCAAAATCGATTTTTTCAGCGTGTTTAAATGTTAACTGTTTTGCACACTTACTTCACGTCTGAAGACGACTTGGGGAACCAAAATCGAAAATTTACAATAAAACTTGTTTATCTTTCCCAAAGAGCTTATTTCTTTCGAAGGCAAAGACAAGGGGTACTGTATATAGGTAATATTCTCATGGATTCCTGCGTTTTTATTTCAGGGAATCTTCGTATTAAATATATTCTTCCACACTGAAGTCGAGGTCACAGTCATGGGAAAGACGGTGCTCACAAATGGCTGGGTTCGAGCAGTATCATGGCTCCTCATATTCTCATCCATCTCCATGATTCCAATCTTTATGGTGGTCGGTCTCCTGAGAGCGCGGGGGACTTTCTATCAGGTAACATTCGCACAACCATTCTTCCCACTGTTTGACGATATTACTTCGTTTTTGCAGAATCCATAATCTCATCAGAATGAAAGGGTGCATTTATAGTGCATGTTCTGTTAAAGGATAGCTGTGCAACCTCGAGGAAATCTTTCTGGTGCACCCCAGATTTCCAGAAGTACTTCTAGAAGTTTCATTCTAGCCCTTCAAATATGACAGTTCTGACAGATGACTGAAAGCAAAAGGACAATATTTGTTCATTTAGGATTTTTCGTCTAAAAAGGCGTGTAAAATTTGTAAAGGAGACCTGTTAAAAACCGGTGACTCGCCTGACAAAGCTTATTTTAGTCTGAGTGGAGGATCGGCTGGCATCTCAAGCCGAACCAGCAACTGCTGGTCGGCAGTACGACGGACTTTTATAGCTGCTTTAGCATTTAATTTGCATTGCTAAACACTTTTCGTAGAGAGAGAGAGGTCGAGAGAGAAGACTTGAAATAAGCCCTCAAATACAGTTCTCCTTTTTTCAAAGGGGACTTGGGGTAAGATTAAGACTTTGTGCTCGATGACAGAATACCCACTTAAAAAGTCCAGGTTTGACCGGTGACGGTGGCATCCACTGCAAACAAATTATCAGATCATTTAAATCCCCGCTACGTCTGGCTACTACTTTCGGATTCGCCTGTACTATGCTCCTAAAGGCTGGGGTTTAGCCCAGCTAGAAATCTTTCGCTAGACGTCACTCTGCGCTAAGAAAGAGCTGTAATCATTTAAAAACTGTCCAAATTTTATCACTTTAAAACTGCTGTGACTGTGTTGGCTCTAATGTTCGCACCTTTGCAGAGCGAAGTTCATGAGTAGCCCCCAACGAGGTGCGAGCTTTTTGTAAATAGAACTACTAAAAACGGAAATTGGTTTTTCTGGAATAGGACTAAATAGGACGTCACCATAGTAGCTTACATGACAGTTCTATTGTGTTTCTTTTGCCATCTGCCTCCATAAGAAGAATTATTATCAACCTATACTAAACGCTACCTTATTTTATAAATGCAACCATGGTCAAGGGTAGGCTATTTGACCCCCTGTGTGGTTGGTGTGCTTCATAACGGTTTGCCTGGTAGAAGGTCGCAAAAGGGTTGTGCAGAAAGCAGCTTTTGACCTCCAATAGCGTTATCGACATTGAAGTTGCCCATTTGTGTCTCAAGGTTAAGGTCTGGACAACGGTGTTAAATTGGTTAGTTAAAATTGGTGTTAGTTGGCTTATTCTTGGGGATATGATTTCCAGGCTTGGGCTATGGTTTCAATTTGGAATTGAGGCTAGGGTTAGAGTTTTAAGGCTTGGCTTATGACACCGGTTACATCCGACTCTTTTTTAATGCCTACAGGTTAAAGATTTACCACCGAAGACATGGCCATGGTTGGCGGTAGGTTTGTAGCTAACTACACTCTCCCTCTAGGGAGTTACATACCATACCCTTGCCCAACGATGTCATTGAAGTTGCTGCCGCCGTTGTTGCCGCATCGCTTAAACGAACCGGTGATTGATCCAAAACCCACTGTTTCTCCCAATTGCTGTGCAGCAGATTGTTTCAGCTAACTTCAAATTTCCTTTCTTCTGTTTGTCCCCTGTTGATGCAATTCACCCCCACTCTTGGAATTTATTGGGGGGTCAATATTCCTGCATCCAATCTGTGGAGTTACTTTAATTTAGTTGAACACTTGAAAATACTAAAAAGTTCGTCGACTTAGAGCCTTGTTTCTTTTCTCTATTTCAGCGATGCGTCGCACTGATTACTCCTGGCATTCGTCCAACTTTCTCGGACTTCCAAGTTCACACACCGGATCCGGACAAACAGTCCGCCTAGGCCTTAAAGCATCCAACGTATTCAGTCCTCCTCAAACCAATGTTCCCTCCTGTTCCACCAAAACTGGCGCATCAAGCGACACCTACTCTCACTAGCTAATCAAGTTTTATATGCCCTTCACGGAGAAAGCTTTCATCACTCTCAGTCACTCGTAGTGCATGCAGATTTTGGCTAGTTTTATCGCTAAATATTTTACTGTTTGTGATCCCCCTAACTACGTTTTTCCACGCTTACTTTACTCATTCACAAGCATGTTAAACTTAAGGCTAAATGGAAGCCGCCGTCTGTTGTAGCTCCGTATGGTACTCGTGCAAAAATGTAACTTTCTATGGCATCAATCTGTTCTGCAGTCCTGTTGTTGAGGGTGCTGTCGTTGGTGGGCTATACTGGGGACAAATGGCTCAACGTGTCTGTTAATCCGTCTGCCCAGAGTCGACACCAGGCGCAGCGCGCAGCGTCCAACCGCAACACCAACAGGCTGGCAAACTCGAACAGTCGGTTAGATCTTATTTTGTAGGCGTACAGTGCATGACCGATCTCATGAAATGTTGGCCGAAATTCTGAAGTGCGTTTTCAATTAGGAGGGATTGCTTAGGTGGACTTTTAATATTATCTTGCGGCATAAACCATTTCTTTTCGACCTCCTGTAGAAACCGTAGTCGATAAAGCATGACTACTTAAGTAGCACGTATTTTTCATATCGATTTTCAATGGTCTTATAAATTCAAATATATTTCATATAAGAACATAGACAAAAGGGCTTTCTTTTACTTATTTGATAGAGAACCACACCATCTTTATATTGTATACTTGAAGAAGGAGTACGATTAGGTTTTAAAAAGGTTTTTTAATTCCCGAATAATTTGGGACCTGGTCAGCTGTTGCCTTAGCGCTTAACGATTTCAGTCTACAAGGTGCATGCGTTCCGTATATGGAAAATCATAAATTTTTTCATGCCTTTAAAAAGATACTATAAAGAGTCCATAAAATTTTGAAATGGATGCGGACCATGTTGTACATTTCATGAGGAGCAGTGGTAAACGGACAGGTACGATGCTGTGTGAATAACCATTGCGCGATCTTAAAAAATGTCATAATTGGAAACTTTTTAAAACCTAAGTATACTCCTTCTTCAAATATACAATATACGGATGGCGTAATTCTCTATCAAATGAGTAAAAAGAAAGCCCTTTTGTCCCTGTTTTTTATGAAATATATTTGGATTTATAAGACCATCGAAAATCAACGTGAAAATACGTGCTACTTAAGTAGTCATGCTTCATCGAGTACGGTTTCTACAGGAAGTCAAAAAAGGCATTCAAAAGTCGACATCCTGCCGAATCTGAAGTGTTATAGGATTATATCACAAGATAATCAGTATTATAAATCCACCTAAGTAATCCCTCCTAATTGAAAACGCATTTCAGAATTTCGGCCAGCATTTCAAGAGATCGGTCACGCACTGTACCCGCAGTAGGCAAGTCCCAGCCGCCTGTCATACGGAACCAGTGGGAATAGCTGGTTTAACCCTAACCCCAACCCCTAACCACTAACCCCAACCCTAACTCCAACTCCTAACCCTAACCCCAACCCTAACCCTTAAGCCTGACCCCTAACCTTAACCCCTAATAAATACGGCTGGAAATAAGATCTTGCCGAACAGCCGACAGGTGCATGGGCGAGAGGAGGGTGGGGTTGACGCTGAGGACTATTCCTACGACAAATCACCACATTCCTCCGACGCGCTTTAACCAACCAAGATGCACTAAAAATTGTGCCTTGGAAGGATGTTAAATGAAGGAATGAGTGGGTCCATCTCAGGCTGCAACGGCTCCTTCGTGGGCTTTGTGGCACTCCTTCGCTAGTAAAGTCCGAGTCGCCCTTATAGAAAGCCCGTTACATGTTCTGGGAACTAGGCCACGTATGACATGCGCGGACGAATTGTTTGGCCACATCAGTTGTGGGGACCGCGCTCACCTCTGGTCCTTTTAACCCTATCTTGTCACCGGAGTAAGGTGGGTGGGTAAGGAGAGAGTGCAGTAGATTCAGCGCAAGTCCACCTCAGTACAAACAAAGTCTCGTCCAAGTCGCTGGTGCTGTGACCACTCCGTTTGAACGCCATCTCGTAGGACGCTTGAAATGTCAGAGTGCATGGCAGCGGGAGCCTGATGACGGCAGACCCGACGCGGCTGTCCCGATGCCAATCCATAATTTGGTGTACAGTGGCTGGCCCCCGGCGAATTTCGGTTCGTGGTTGCAGTTTCCGCACGACTTGCTGGCGCACGGTCAATGCGATGCGGAAACAGTCAGCAGCAGTGGTTAGCAAACCTGTTTCAATGGATCAGCTGAGAGGTCAGCAAACCAACACCAGACAGCCGCAGGTACAGTACGACAACGAAACAGACAGCGGGCGTGAGAACTCTTCGTAGGATGGAAAAACGGAGAGAAGAGGAAAAGGACCAAATAAGTGGGGCAGCCAATGGTCCTATAAGACCAACTGAGGGCGACCATTTATTCCGAAGGTGACTGGATCACGCAGACGCTTGATGTTACTTAGACATATCTCTAAATGACAGAAATAAACTGTCGGTTTGTGACACAAAGGTCGCTCCTCGAATCTTCAAGAGATGGCTTGGCCTTTAGGCGTAATTTTGACACAGTAAGCTAAGTAGGACGCACAGCGGACGTCCGGTCTTTTATGAATTATTTACTGATGTAGGTTTCGAAAAGTCAATGGTTTGTCTAATTTTGAATAAATCTGCGGCAAGCCTGACTTTTGATTCCCTCAACTACATTCGGTTGGAGTCTGTCCTTCCTATTGAACAGTCTTGGCTCTGCCGATGGATGCGAAGTTGATAAAAACTCTGAATGTATTCTGTCTTGGAAGATCAGGGAATCACGCCATTAAAGCAGCTGAAGAGAACACACTGTCCTCCTGTTCAAAGACCGGAAATATTAGTGCAGGGACTACTATTCTCCAAGCAATACAATTTGCTTAGAGACACGTCAAAAACAGTTAATGCAACGCCTACTGCGACAATACATGATGCCCTGAGATTGATTTAGACATGAGTCCTCTCCAGTATAATGTTTGCCTGTTTAATTAACGCTCATTTTTGTGCTTTTTCAACAATTATGCCACAGACGTGACGCAAAGGGCCGACATGTACAGTGGGTGACCTAACTCATGAAATGCATCGAAATTTACGAGTGATTGCTAATCCCTCGCAAACCGACACCAATCCGTGGACCCATTATCTATTCTAGTAAGGCACAACTTTAAAAGAATTAAAAGCATATAATAATTAATGTGGGCAATTTTGCGCTGTTTAGAAATGTCAATCTTTTGTAAAATCGCAAAATCCCAAGAGCGTCAAAATGGTTGCAATTTAGGAAACTTCATTTTTAAACTTTTCAAACGTTTACCCATGGACAAAACTGAGTGAATATGAAAGTACAAATGAAATAACAGTTAAAGATAATGTTCTTATGAAGTTTATATTTAAATATCCCTTAAAAATTAATGTCATTCCGGGTATGGCACCTCGCCAACAGCCTACATTCTTGGCATAGATTCCGAAACAGTTTCCCAAGGATTCGTGGTATCCTTGAGTCCTATGAATCAATTAAGATGCGGCTCAATGAGAACGGCAAGACTTTGCTCGATTTAGTCGACAGGGACATCTGGTAATCTGTCGTCTTAGCCTCGTCTCGCCGCCTAAATAAGGTTAGTGAAGGAAGGGAGAGAGTGCGGCAGATGTTGATCAAGCTTACATTCCATATGGTATTCCAGTTTGCCTTTTGTATGAGTTTCAGCAAACATTATTAATCATTTTGAGTACACGCCCTCTCTCTCTACCCAGATTAAACGTATTTTCCCGGTCGTAGATGTTGTTAACTCAGAATATCAACAGGGCACAGGAATAGAACCCCGTCCCTCGTAATACAGGGTGGTTTTGCACTAACTTCCAGGGAAAATAGGGTTGGGATATTTGCACAAGGTCATCCGTAATGTCGGGAGGACTCCTCTCTCCGTGTCTTCCAGACCAGTCGTTTAATCGGGCAAAACATGTCTGACGCAGCAGTAGACAAGCTATCTCGGGAAGTGTTAACTGAAATTTCGAAATACTATTCCATTTCAAAAGCATTACTCAAGTAAGGTGGTCCTACTGACTATCATGCCGTGGCAAGATGTTGGGATGCTTCAGTGACGTCAGGAACCTGACATTCGAATGTGCCCCTTACCGATCGTCTGCATGAGCTATACTTCGCAAAAGGTGATTACTTAGGCGGCATGAATTTTCGCAATTGATTTATGCTACCCCTATAAATTAAAGCATATTTTATACACAAAATATCCTTTTTTCCACTCATTCTGTAGCAAATCGCGTCTTCTTCAAATTGTATACTTTAAGAAAGAGTATCTTTCGGTTTTAAAGACTATTCTCAGTCCCCGAAAATTTTGAACACGACCTGTCGTAACACTTGCATTTAGGGTTTCCGAACTACAGGCTGTGTATTTTTTGTAAGGTAAATCATGCATCCCTATATGCTGTTATAAAGAGGTCGTATATGGCTCATGTGAACCATGTTGTCCATTTTATTAGCAGCATTAATAAATGTGATGCTGCAATGCTGTATGATAGGACATCTCAAGGTCTTGAGAAATCTCACAGTTAGAGACTCTTTTAATGCCAACATATACTCTTTATTCAAGTATGACATTTGAGAAAGACGTAATTTGCTACAGAATTAGTAAATAAAAGGATATTTTGGCCACCATCTCTATGAAATACATTCAAACTTATAAAGCATCGAAAATCAATGGGAAAATTCATGCTGGTAATTTTACGGAATATAGCTTTTTCAGACGATTGGTAAAGAGCTCCTTCGAAAGCCAATTTCCTAGCGTCACATGAGCATCCTAAAATTTTGTCGTGACACGATAGTCGGCATGACAACCCTACTTAACTAATCTTTTCGAAATAGAAACACTTCCG